GAGGCCACAACATTAGTAACAAAGAAACAGAATTTCCGGAGGTGGAGGCCCAGAAATCAGGATTTTAAAAAGATTCCCGGGGGGTTCTAATGTGCAGCCAAGGTTGAGAACCACTGCATTAAGGTTTAGAACAGGGATGGCGAACCTTTTGAGCTCGGCATGTCAGCATTTTGAAAAACCCTAACTTAACTCTGGGGCGGGGTCACATATAGAAATTTTTTGATATTCGTAACCCATAGTAAAACAAAGATTTATATTTTTGATATTTATTTTATATATTTAAATGCCATTTAACAAAGAAAAATCAACCAAAAAAATGAGTTCACATGTCACCTCTGACACGTGTGTCGTAGGTTCACCATCACTGGCTTAGAATGTCTGCTTAACAAACCTAGTGGGGCTTTTTATTTTGTTTTTGCTTTTTGTTAATCCTCACCTGAGGATATTTTTCCATTGATTTTTAGAGAGAGTGGAAGAGAGAGAGAGAAAAAAAAATCCACTGGTTGCCTCCTGCACGCACCTAGACCAGGGCCAGGAAAACTGCAACCAAGGTACGTACCCTTGACTAGAATCAAAGCCAGGACCCTTCAGTCTGCGGGCTGATGCTCTATCCATTGAGCCAAACCGGCTAGGGTCAAACCTAGTGTTTTTTTATTATAGTTTTCCCTCTAGAGACTCCCCAAGAGAAAAATAGTATTTTCCTTATTTATCGTCCTCTGTTTGGAACAAATTATTAAGATTCTAAAAATTAAACTGTCTTATAATTCCCTGTTATTTCAATTCACCACCAAAGCTGTTTTGACTTTCTGGTGAGAAAATATCCATTTGTAATTGCTGGGAATTACTTATAGCCCCAATTACCTGTATTTTCTGTATATGCCCTCCCCCTCCTCCCCATTTTTCCATTTTTTGAGGTTTGAGGAAATGGGAAAAGAGAAGGGAGAAAGCACATTCAAAAGTACTAATTCCTTGGTTTGACTTCCTGTTCTGTTCGATTGTATTCAGGCACTATTGGTGACTTTTTTCTCCCCAGGAACCGCGCCATCAGTGGACCTGCTGTTTAACCTGGATCGAGTTACTGCTGTGGAACACCTACTCAAGTCAGTCTTGCTATATACTTTCAACAACAACTCAGTTTCTTTCCCCTCCGCTGCCAAATGTGTGTGCCACCTGGTGCTGAAAGAGCCAGCGGCTAGTTCCAGCAAGACACTCCCTAGAGCTCCACACTCCGTTACCTTTAAGTCACAGTTTGAATTAAAAAAGAAATACAAATGGGTTGAGGTTGATGTGACTGCCCTGCTTCAGCCTCTAGTGGCCTCCGACAAGAGAAGTGTTCACGTGTCTGTGACCTTTACGTGCGTGAAAGACCAGCTGCAGCCCCCCGCAGCACAGGACAGTCCCCTCAACCTGGCGCGCCCCTCACTGCTGCTGTACCTGAACGACACAAGCGCGCAGGCTCATCACAGGCGGTATTCCCTCCACTATAAAAGGAGCCCTTCACAGGCTCCTGACCAGGGAGGTCTGCCTGCCTGTCCTACAGGAGAAGAGGCTGCTAAGGGAGTAAGATCTTCCCGTCACCGGAGAGGACAGGAAACTGTCAGCTCAGGATTGAAGAAGCCTCTGGTTCCAGCTGCTTTCAACCTGAGTGAATACTTCAAACAGTTCCTTTTTCCCCAAAACGAGTGTGAGCTCCATGACTTTAGACTTAGCTTTAGTCAGCTGAAGTGGGACAACTGGATTGTGGCCCCGCACAGATATAACCCCCGGTACTGTAAAGGGGACTGTCCAAGGGCAGTTGGGCATCGGTATGGCTCTCCAGTTCACACCATGGTGCAGAACATCATCTATGAGAAGCAGCTTGACTCCTCGGTGCCAAGACCATCGTGTGTGCCTGCCAAATACAGCCCTTTGAGTGTGCTGACCATTGAGCCTGATGGCTCAATAGCTTATAAAGAATATGAAGATATGATAGCCACTAAGTGCACCTGTCGTTAACAGATGATCCTCTAAACTAAAACCTGGAGCCTCTTTGGCAAAGTAAATGCCCTGCGCCCACCTGTGCCTTCATGTGTCGAATCTCTAAATATAATGCAGTGCGTCTTGTATAAGGAGGAGTCTGTGTAGATTAGCACATTCTGTGGTATCTGTCAGTGTAAAGGGACATCTGCCTTTTTTATTTACAAATGTAAATGAGTGTAATTATTTTGGTGGGCTTTCCATTTTTTTCCCCCCTAAGCAGTTATTTTTTTCTTTTCATAAGTCTTTTTTTTATGTTAAAAACTTAATGAGCATTAATTTTGAATGGAATTGCAGCTCTAAGTAGACAATTCAGATTGTTGTAGTCTTATTTAATGGAAGAATAAATTCCTGTCAGTGGCATATATGTGTGTTTATTAAATAAAGATTGCTTTTATATGGTGATTTGGGAGGCAGAGGAAGCATCTCTAAAAGCTAGTCTTGGCTCAACCTTTGATCTCTTTCAGAGTAAAAGAGAGGCTAACTTCTTTACCTACATCCTGATGAAGTGAGGTTCACTAGGTCTGGAGTGTATGCAACATTTCTATTGCATTAATGTGACTGGTACACAGTATACTAATTCTGCTCGTTAGATGACTTGTATAAATTGATTCACATCAAACAATATAATATTTGTTCCATTTATTTAAAGGAAATTGCCTTGCAGATTTTTCCCAAGAAATTGCAGGGTTAAAGATTTTTAAAATGCATTTTCTTCTTTATGTATTTAGATCTCTGACGCTATGGGAAGAAGTCAAGGAGCATTTTTTGTTTCCAGTTTCCCTTAGCTCCCATCACTCCACCCCCATATATTTTTTTCAGGTGGACTTTGGACTGTTCCACTGATCCAAGCTGGCAGTGAGGAGGTTATATTACAGAGGGGGCCTTGTTTGGATATGAGGGCTTATATGTGGGTTTTCAATCAATTTACCTTAAGAGAGTCCTAGGGGCATGGAGGGCTGATGCAGTTGATTTCTGTTTCAGAGTTTCTAAAACCTTCATCTACAAACCAGAAGTAATTCCTAGGTACAAGAAGTATTTAACCATTCTTGTAAATGATGTTTTCTTAGTGCATAATGTCTGACTAAAGAAGTCAGCTTGGATTTTGATATAATGGTGTTGAGTCTGCAGATCAGATTGGGGAGTATTGCCATCTTAATGCTATCCATGAATATGGGATGTTTTCCCCTTTATTTAGGTCTTTTTTTTTCCCCTCAAAAATGTTTTGTAGTTTTTGAGTAAGTTTTGTATCTTTTGTTAAGTTTATTTCTAAGAATTTTATTCCTTTTGATGTTATGAATGGAATTGTTTATTTTATTTTGGGGTTGTTGCCTGGTGCTGTCATGCATACACATTACAAACCTGCACATACTGACATAAATGCTCTGTTTTCTGCTCATGATTTTTTCCTCTTGAAAACATTTCAGAAAAGAGGTACTGAAATGGAGGGAGAAATTTTAGGTGGCCCAGTTTCCAAATAACTTTACCATCTTGTTGTGTAACTTTGAAGGCATTATTATTCTTTGGTAAAGGAGGCTGCAAGCCTAAGAGATAAATGGTTTTTCAGGGGTTACTTCTGTCATTCTTAGGAATAAAACATACCTAGAGTGGAAAGGCCATGAGTAAGGGTGGCAACGTACAACCGAACTTATTTGAAAGTAAGTCTCCCTTGGATATGGCTGTTTTCAAATGGACCACGTGAAATATAAACTCAAGGAATTCCTTATAGTTCCTCAGTTACCTTCAAGTAATTTAATGTTTGTTTCTCTGAAACAGAACTTTGTTTTGTTGTTTGTTTTTTTGTTTTTTTCATGGCTTTGTTCTGTGGCTGAGTGTGGAATGTGCTCTGCAATCTAGAGGTTTGGAAAAGAAGAAAATGAAAGGGTAGTTCTGATGGACATGAAATATCACGGTCAGTGCCAGAATTAGGAACAGAAAAAATAGTTCATCCTTACAGGTAAGTTCTAAAATGGATTTACTTAAAAATTAGCTTGAATAACTTTTTTTTTTAGGTTTTATTTGTAAATCTAGTTTCTTTCATTCATAAGACAGTGTTAATATTCAGGGCTGATGTGTCTGCTAAATTTAAACTTCAAAGATTCTCTTCTACACAATTGAGGAGCATATACCGGTCTTCCAACTGCCTCCTCCATATAAAACCTCTTTTTCTTGGGTTACTCTTACAAAAGCTGCCACTTTAGAAAATAAATGACAAAGGACAGCAGTGATTTAAATCTGGAAATTTAAGGATGAGGCCACATCTGCCTTAAATAGATGCATTCAGCTTTGGTATTTAGTCCAGATGAGATACGAGGCCACCTAATGCGATGAGTGTCTTAGTGTGCCAGGGAACAACGGGGCACGTCAGGAGCTGCTTTTACCTTCAGCTCTGAGTTTCCTGCTTTTTATCAGTTTAAATCAACTCCTGTGTTTCGTTGAATACTTTGTGTTTTACTAATCGGTTTCAAGGGCAGTAGCCGCTTGGACTTTGTTTAGAGCTCAGTGTAGACAGTCTGGGGGGAAATAAAGTTGCTCTTTCATGGAGGAAGTATTCCTGGTTACATAAGTGATAAAAGAAAAGTGCTCAGATAGAAGAACTTGGTTTATGTCAAACCTTAGTCAATTATAATTTATAACTTTGCAGTGATTGTAACTTATAATAAGTGAAGTGAAATGTTAACATGTAAATATTCTTTTAGAGGATGTTAGTCCCAGAAACATGCCTTAAGTATAGAGATTGGCTGGATGGGTTGATACAATAGAAAAGTATGCTCTTCTGTCCATGAACTGTTGTCTAATTAGAAGGAAAAACAACCACAACCAGGAGGTTGATACTTCATCCTTTACCAGAACTGACACGTCAAATAGGTTCTCCACGTGTAACTGTCCCCAAACCACTGATTTACTGCTCAATTTTTGGAAGGGGTCTTGGTTAATTAGACCCGGACTATTTCAGTATCCATTTAAAAAATGATTTTATAGCCCTAGCCAGTTTGACGCAGTGGATAGCACCGGCCTGCAGACTGAAGGGTCCCGGGTTCTATTCCAGCCAAGAGCACATGCCGGGTTTCGGGTTTGGTCCCCAGTAGGGGGCGTGCAGGAGGCAGCTGATCAATGATTCTCATCATTTATGTTTCTTTCTCTCCCTCTTCCCTTCCTCTCTGAAATCAATAAAGAAATATATTTTCTTAAAAACAGAAAAAACGATTTTTATAGGTGGCCTAACAGTATGTCTCTGTCCTACCTTACTATGCAATGCGGTATTCATGGGAGAATTGAGTGATTAGATATGTGCGAACAAGATCAACTGTACGTTTTGGACATCTTAAATGCTTTGTGAGTGGCTTACAGAGTTATTTATAGACCTGCCTTTGGTGCTGGTGTCTTGCCAGGTTGGAATGCTATGATGGGCAGTTCACAGGCTGTACCTGGATGCCATTTTGGCTTTCTCAGAAATAATTAGCTCACTGAATAAATATTTATTGAACACTGAATATGGGCCAGGTGCCGTGTGAGGTTAAGAACAGAGTCTAATGTTCTCGGCTCCAGGAAAGAGATAGCGCCTCCCAGAAATGGTGACTCCTTTAGTAGTAGACAGAACTAGCCTAAGTTCTGTCTGTGAGCATCTGTCATCACAGAGTATTCTGTGGAGGAATACGTTTTGGGGTGAGTACTATATAAGCAGGCTGAATAAATACTAAATTATTTTACCTTTAGATTAGAATTTTTTTTTAAAAATATATTTTATTGATTTTTTACAGAGAGGAAGGGAGAGAGACAGAGAGTCAGAAACATCGATGAGAGAGAAACATCAATCAGCTGCCTCCTGCACACCCCCCACTGGGGATGTGCCCGCAACCCAGGTACATGCCCTTGACCGGAATCGAACCCAGGACCCCTCAGTCCGCAGGCCGACGCTCTATCCACTGAGCCAAACCGGCTTTGGCTAGATTAGAATTTTTTAATTAAATGTTTTATTTTAAGATAACTGCAGATTCACATACAATTGTAAGAAATAATAGATCTCATGTAGCCTTTATCCATCCCCTCAATGATAACATCGTGCAAAAGCATAGCATACTCTTTCCTGACATTGATACAATAGATAAGAATATTTCACATTGAAACTCAGTTGGGTCACGGGAAATGCTGATCTTAACATCCATAAAGTTTTGATATCTCCTGATGGAATTAATGGTTCAGTATTTTTCATCTTCTATCACTTCACCTCTACCCTGGAAACTTTGAGTCTTTGAAACTACAAATTTATTTATTCAATAAATGTTTATTGGGCACATACTACATGCTAGGTATGCCTCTAGAGCAGTGGCTCTCAACCTTCCTAATGCTGTGACCCTTTAATACAGTTCCTCATGTTGTGGTGACCCCCAATTTCATTGTTACAAATTGAACATAATTAAAGCATAGTGATTAATCACAAAAACAATATGTAATTATATATGTGTTTTCCGATGGTCTTAGGCGACCCCTGTGAAAGGGTCGTTCGACCCCCAAAGGGGTCGCGACCCACAGGTTGAGAACCGCTGCTCTAGAGGCTGGTGTAGTAGTGATAAATAAGAGAGACAGGCAGTTGCTGTCATGGAGCTCATGTTCCAGTGTGGGCAGAGACAATGAGCAGGTCAACAACATGAGCAGCCATGTACGGGGGCCTCCAGGCAGAACAAACTCATTGTCTGACATCAGAAAGTCCTGGGTATGACTGGCAAGTGGGAAAGGAGAAGGAATAAGTGGAATGGCAAGTGGGGTGGGAGGAGATGAAGTTGAAGAAGCAGACAGACAAGATGATACAAGACCTTATTGGCCAGTGTGAGGGGATTGGATTTTATGCCAAGATCAATAGGAAGCCATTGAAAATGTTGAATCTGGGGCCTGAAATGATTGGATATTTTTTAAGGTCACTCTAAGTGTTCTCTGTAGAGTTGTTTGGCAGAGACTAGTCCAAGGGTGGGCAAACTTTTTGACTCGAGGGCCACAATGGGTTCTTAAACTGGACCGGAGGGCTGGAACAAAAACATGGATGGAGCGTTTGTGTGAACTAATATAAATTCAAAGTAAACATCATTACATAAAAGGGTACGGTCTTTTTTTTTTTTTTAGTTTTATTCATTTCAAATGGGCCGGATCCGGCCCATGAGCCGTAGTTTGCCCATGGCTGGACTAGTCTGAAACAGGGAGACTGTTTTTGGGGGCTCTTCTCATGGTCCAGTTAAGAGATGATGCTGTCATGGACTATGACATGGAGATGGGGATGCAGAGAAGTGAACTTGGGATTTCTTTTTGTGGCTCTTCTGTTACTTGGCCTGTGCCTCTGAGGTTGTAGAATGGCAACCTTCTACTAAGAGAA